CAAAGACATCATTCTGTTCCACAATTTTCTCACAATGCAGGTGCGAAAAACATTTTGAAATTTTGTTTTTTTTAAATTCCAAATTAAATTTTTCTTCTTTTTTTTTTTTTGATTGAGTAAATTTTATTTAAAATAAAATTAACTAACTTTTTAGAAACAAACACAAAAACTCAACTTATTGAAAATCTTGTCGGAAATTGGGCTTCCGATCAAAGTGGTACATACTCACCGTTCGGTTCATCTTTGGGAGGATTAAGATCTGATGCTATGGATAACTTTAATATCGGAAGAGGTGGCAGAAAGTAAGTTTATTTAAAATAATATATATTAAATATTTATTTCCTTTAAATGATTCTATTAAAGCTAAATGAAATCATTTTTAAAGAATTTTTACTTTGAATTTTAAATACTCATCGATTTTATTTGTAGAACGAGAATAGTAGCTGAAGTCAGACCTATGAGACCATCTTATTCTGATGTATTAGCTAAATCAATATTAAAGAACAACATAAAACAAAATCAAACAAATTCAACAAATCAAGATGTCAAGCAAAAAAGTGTCAATGACAAAACAAAATCGAAATTTTCAGTTGGAAGAACATTAAGCGGCAATGCAAATATTCTTAACAGGCAAACTTCTCCTGGTAACTTATCGTTGTTTTAAGTATTTTTAAAACAAAAAAAAAAAAAAATTAATTGTAAAGCTCTTTCAGCCATTTTTCTTCGATTAATCATTACATTAAAACTTTTGTCTTTCAGTAACAGATGATGGTAATTATGGGAATAATTCAAATTTGAAAAATTCTTACATGAAAAAAATGAATTGTGGAAATAATAAACAAGAAAGTTTGTCTAAAAAATGGGTATCTCTTGATGATTTGAAAAATGCGAGCAAACGAGAAAATTATATTAATTTAAACGATGTTAAAAATAAAAAAAATACAATAAAAAACGTTAATAACGGTAAAACAAATGTTTCGAATAACAATAATAATAATAATAATAATAATAATAATCGTAAAGAAAAACGAGAAGTAACTCAAACGACTAATGGTAATTCAAAAAATTCGAACGTTAAATCTCAAATGGCTAAAAAGCAAGAAAAAAGTCATGGAAAAGTTCAAATGGGTGTTTCAGAAAATGAATTTGTTTCGGCGTCGAAATATGGAATACTTAGAAATAAGGTGCCTGAGGAAAAAAAAGGTTTGGTTTGGTTTTTTGTTGTAAAAAAAATTTTCTCCCATGGAAAATTAAGAGGTTCACACTGTTTTAATTTCAATGGAAATTGTTTTAGTGCCTTGGCCGACTCGAAAAGCGAAATCTGAAACTCAAAAAACGACAAAAAGAAATATTCGTACTTGTCAGCCGGAAAAACAACATAGAAAATCGTTCAGGAATAAAAGGAGAGAACAGGAGCCATGTTTGTCAACTTTAATTAAAGTTCGAATGGATCGTTACGGTGGTGTTTTATTATTCGCTTTAAATTGGTTGCTTAGACTCGTACTCGATGTTTTGGGTTTGAGTACTCATTTGGCCATTCACATGTGAGACTTTTAAGAGATTCGACCTTTTTTTTTTGGCAAATATATACAAATTTGAATTGTGAAAATATTTTTGTTTCAGGTGTGCTGCCGTTTGGGCTTCATCCGTTCATAACGCGTCTCAATTTTATAAAAAGTCTTGTCACGCTGTTAGAAACATTGAAATTATAAAACGGATAATAAATTCGCCATTTTATCCGTTTAAAAAGTCTGATTCGAAGAAAAAAAAACTATATGATTCTGATAGCGATTCAGATGATTCAGGTATACCCCAATCATCCGTTTTATAACAATTTATCGAATAGATAATAATAATAATAATAAAAAATAATGATTACGTTTGTTTGCAGGTGAAGCTAAAATAAAAAGAAAAGTACCGCGGGGATTGAAGCACAATATAACATTACCCGTTACCGGAGAAGAAGCAATGAGAAGGTTGTTGGCATGCAAAGGAAAAGATCCGTATAGCATATTGGGTAAAAGAAATTTTTTTTTTTTTGATAATAATAATTAATCTTTAAGAGAAAATAAAATACTCTTTCTCTCTCTCTCTCTCTCTATTGTAAACCAGGTGTCACGCGGAATTGCACGGATGACGATATAAAAAAATATTACAAACGTCAAGCTTTTCTTGTACATCCCGACAAAAACAATCAACCCGGAGCAGAAGAAGCATTTAAAATATTGGTACACGCTTTTGATATAATAGGAGAGCCAGTGAGTTGAGATATTTTGCCTACCGGGTGTACAAGTAGAAGATTAGGAAAAGTATGAAATTAAATTTGGTTTGTTTTGTTTTTTTTTTTTTTTTTTTGTTAGGAACATCGTAAATCGTACGATCGTAGAATAGAAAAACCACAATCCGAACACGCTGCCTGGTCAGAATTAAGCGATCTATTGTCTCAATTGCATAAAAAAATGGAATATGTTGCAAACACTATTAGATGCACCAACTGCAATAAACGTCATAAGAGGACAACCGTCGACAGGCCCATATACGCGGCCAGAATGTGTAATCAGTGTAAAATTCATCATTCGGTCAGAGAGGTAACAAAATCATAATGTTCAGGAGGTTTTTTTTTTAATCTTTTAGTTGAAACCTCTTAGTTTTTATTGTTTTTTTTTTTTGTAATTATACGATGCAGGGTGATATATGGGCGGAAACTTCAATGTTTGGATTACTCTGGCACTATTACGCATGCATGGATGGAGCTGTTTATGACATAACGGAATGGGCGGGTTGTCAAGGAAGCAATTTACGTAACATCAAAGCAAATACTCATAACGTTCAGTATAGGATAGTACTTGGAAAACAACACGGTCAAAAGCAAAACTATCAGCAACCCACGCCTGCCAGGTACAAACGGTGACATTTTTTTTTTTAATATTTTTTTTTTATTTTTGCCCGTGTTGAAATGTCTATATATAACAATAATAATAATAATAATATTTAAAAAAAAGAAAAAGAAAAAGAAAAAAAAAAAAAGAATTATCACAACCGACGGAAATTAAAAAAAAATAAAACGTGTTTTATTAATCATTTTCAGCGAACCTGATTTCGATGATTTTATTAACAATTTTTATACAAAGTCGGATACTAGAAGTGGTGGAGGTGTTGGTGGTGGTGGTGGCGGTGGTGGTGTTTCAGGAGGAGGAGGAGTTTCGGGAGGAGGCGGAGTAGGAGGAGTAGGAGGTGGAAGGGAAGCCGATAAAATGTCTTGCGGAGGAAAAAAACGAAAAAATAAGAAAAAGAAATAAAATGAAATGAAATGAAATAAAAAGGAAAAAAAAATTTCTTTTCAAAACACTTTTTAATCGCCTCTCTCGGGTTCATATACGATTTCGTTTTTTCTCTCTCTCTCTCTCTCTCTCTCTTTCTCTTTCGCATATGATTTTGAATTCTCATGCGAAAGAACGTTAGGATGGTGATGGTGATGGTGGTGTTGGTGGTGGTGAATGGCGAACACGACGAGGTGATTTTAAGTGTTTACAAAATTTTTTTCAAAAAAAAAAAAAAAAAAAAAAATATATTTTCAATCAGTGAATGAATAATCAATTAATTACATAAGCTAACGTTTTGAGCATTTTTTTTTTTTTTTATTTAAATCGAGCTATTAATATATACATATATATATATATATATATATATATATACATAAAAATCGCTTTCCTCGCCTCAAAAATTATTCTATTATAATAACTAACATTATTATTATTATTATTATTATCATCATCATCATCATCGTAATCGTATTCTCTCTCTCTCTCTCATTTTCTTCTAATATTTTTAAACCGTGGGATGATTTGCTGCGCGCGCGAGCTATTATAATAGCAAATTAATAACTTATAGCTTTTAACCTTTTTTTTTAGCCGTTATAAGTGTTATACGTATAAATGTGTCACGTGACTTTTAATATATATATATGTATACATATATATATATGGCTGGAAATTTTTCTTTTTTAAAGCGAAACGATTTATATGTGTATTTTAAGGTTTTTTTTTTTTTGTTTTTAATTTTTTTTTTTTTTTTTTTAAAGTATATAAATATTAATATTATTACTTAATTGCGGCGGAAAATCAAACAGAGAAAAAAGAAAATTTTTTGTAGGGAAATTAAAACAAACGCATTTTTTTTTTTTTTAATTTGTTTTTATCTATTTGTAATTTTAAGCTTTTAGTGTGTAAAACATAAAATAAAAAAAAATATTAAAAAAAAAAATAAATAAATAAAAAGTTTAAAAAAAAAAAAAAACTAAAAAAATTAAAAAAGAAAGAAAGGATTTATTATTATTATTATTATTATTATTATCATTACTATTATTATTATGGTTTTTTTTGTTGGTTATTATTATTATAATAATTATAAAGAAAAATTCGTTTTGAAAAAACACAACAACACAAAAAAATTAAAATTATCCGACGAATATGTTTTAGATTTAAAATAATAATAATAATATTTTACTTATTAAAAATTAGATGGTAAATAATAATACTAATAACAATAATAATATTAATAATAATGGTAGTAGAGTTTATTATTTCTGTAAAAATTTGGGGAGAAAAATTAAAAAAAAATTAATAATAATAATAAATTGAATTTTTGAAATGATTGACTGGAATTTGTAATTTTTAAAAATAATTATTTTATTTTTAATTTTAATAATTCGATTATTTTAAATAATAATAATAATGATGATAATATTGGTAATGATGATAATTTTGTGGCATTTACAAGAATAATAATTTTTTTTTCTTTTTTTTTTTCTATTTAAATTTTTTTTCAATTTTTAATTAAATATTATTATTATTATTATTTACCTTTTGAAAATTTTTTTTATTTTCTTACCTTTATTATCATTATTATTATTATTATTATTATTATTATTAATTAATCATTTTAATTATTTTACCTTTTTAATCGTTTATTGTATAATTTTTTTTTCATCATCATTTATTACTTACTATTTTATATATATATATATATATATATATATATATATATATATATACTACTACTATTACTATGTATATCACGGTTTAAAAATAAATAATAATAATAATAATTGAAACGAGAAAAAAAATTTTTAAATATATAATCTCCATCAATTTATAAATATTGTAACAATTAATTAAATAAAAATAATAATAATAATAAAAGTCGTTTAAACGGTTTTGAATATTTGCTTATTTATTTGTTTACTTATTATTATTATTATTTTTTTTTAAAAATTGGTAGCAATTATTGTAAAATTATAGTAGAGAGTGGGAGGAGGGAGGGGGAAATAAGTAATAATATAAAAAATTGTTCTGCCTCCTTGAATTAAATATTATAAATATATATTAAAAATGATGGATTTCATATTGAAAATTTAAATTTTTAATTAAATTGATATTAATTACTATCTATGAAAGTTTTTAAATCAATATGAATTTAATTTTATTTGGGGAGAGAGGGGGGGGGGAAATTGGGTAAAAGAAAAAAAACAAGGCAAAAATACAACAACAACAAAAAAAAATTTTAATTAATTTATTTTATTAAAATTTAATTTTCCTCTAGTGAGGATTTAAACTATTGTAATAATTTATTATTATTATCATTATTCTTATTCTTATTATTATTATTATTATTTTTAAAAAAGGAAAAAAAGAAAAAGAAAGGAAAAATTGTTTTTGTCTTGTTTTTAAAACGAGTTCAATCAACTCATATTATTATAATACTATTTAATAAGCTATTTTGGCAACGTGACAAATCATCATTATTATCATTATTATTATTATTATTATTATTATTATTATTTTTTTTTTTTTTTTTTTTTTTTGCGGAAACAAATCAATGTAAAAATTTTTTAATTTTTAAATTTTTTTTCTTGTTAAATTTATCGTTTGATCATGTTTCTTATTGTTTTATTTTATTATTATTATTATTATTATTATTATTATTATTATTATTTACCGTTTTCCGTTCCGTTAACAATCGATTAATTCATTTTAATTTAAATGTCGAAATTTAAAGAGTTATATATTTAAAATAACCACGTGGGAAAAAAATTTTTTTTTGTTTTTGTTTACATCAACAAAGCTTGTCGTCGTCAAGCTTTAAAAGGTATGACGTTTATATAAACTCTTATTAGTTTTCCCCCCTCCCACCTCTTTTTTTGCCATAGTTTTTTTTTTTTTTCTATAAGTTTACCCATTTTATTTATTTATTAAATAATGAATTTGTTATGAAATGATTGATTGATTGATGAATTTATCAAATTAAAAATGAATGTTTTTTTTTTTTTTTTTTACACCACGAGGGTTTTCGTTGATAATTATATACGAGGAAATATATATAATAAGTCGAGCGTTAATATATTTTATTTTTTTTTTATAAATAAATTGTTTGCAAATAAAATAATTTCAGGTAATGACGTTATTTGCAAAAGAAAATAATTTCAATTAAATTTTATTTATTTTGGGGGTTTGTTTGTTTTGTTGTTTTTTCGTTTCAAAGCGCTGACCGATAAATTTACGAACACGTTGCAAAAAAAAAAAAATTTTTTTTTTTTTACGATTTCTGAACGCGCTCGACTCTCTTTAAAAATGATCCATTTTTATGTTTACTTTGCTGTATACTTGTAAATTTAATCGGATATATTTTTAAGAAGGGGGATAGGAAAAAAAAAAAAAAAAAAAAAAAAAAAACAAAAATATAATTTCACGTTTGGTAATTAACTACTAAACGGTAATAAATAAGTATGATTTTTTTAAATGAAAATTAAATTTAAATTTATTCACATTTAAATTTGGTTTATTGCGAAATATGTGTTGTGTGTCATAGTAACGTTTACAACATGCGAAAACATTTCTCTCAAGTTGGGAAATGTCGCGGGGGGGAGTCAATGAAAAAAAAATTTTTTTTCTTTTTTTTTTTTTTTGTGAATCGGCACATCGTTAAATTGTTTTAGTTTTTTTTTTTTCTCTTTGTAAATTAAACATAATGAAATTATAATTTTTAATTACAGTTTTAACATGAGTCAAACCGGAGAAGTTAACGATACTAATAAAATAAAAGGACCATGGGATAAAATAAAAAATGTGGAGCCTAAACAGTTAAGACCTCCAAAAAATTTAGTCAGTGGTGTAACCATTCCTGTTTCCAGTGTGTGAGTATATAATAATTTTATTTTATTTTATTTTAAATATATAAATATATATTAATAATTTAATTTATATTTAAGTGAACCATCCAAAGTTGATAATTCAAATAATGATAATGTTAAAACTCAAAATGTACAAGAAGCACAAAATCATAAAATTCTTAACAGTACCTTAAATGCTAATGCTGCAGAATTTATTCCTTTATCAAATCAAAATATAAATCAAAATAGTACAAATCATGTAAGTTTAATTTCTATCGATTTTTTTTTTTTTTTTCATTCATTTAATTATATTATAATAAATATTTAATCAATCGTTACCTACTCCAATTTAGGAGGATCAATCTCAGGATGCTGCTGTCGAGTATTTAAAAGATGAATTAAAGTACCTGATTCTTAATCCGGGAAAATATGATGACTTAGTCCAACCTTTGTACGAAGTTATCGAACCATATATATCAAATCCAAATGCTCTCCAATTATTTATTACTGTAATTATGGAGGAGGTAATTATTAAACATCTCATTGATTTCTTTCTTTTTTCTCAATACTCTTAATTAACATTGTAATGATTTTTTTTTTTTTTTTTTTTAGTGCATTTCAGAGCCAAATTTACGATACAGTGGTGCTAGAATATGCAGCGATTTAACGAAAAAGTTTGGAGTTAAATTTAGAGAAGTTTTGTTAAAAAGGTAAAAAAATAACTTAATCTATTTAATTTTTGTCTGAATAACAATTTTAACGAGAGAAAGAGTGAAATAATGGAGTATGTGTGTTTTTTTTAGATGTCAAGAAGAGCATACTGCATTTGTTGAGGGTGCTTATTCTAACGATGTGAATTACATGAACAGAATTCAGGGTTTCGGAATGCTTTTGGCAGAATTGTTTTTACAAATACAAATAGGGGAAAAGAGTATTCCAGCACTCGGTCAAGGATTGCTTAAAATATTAGAAATAATATTGAAAAACGAAACGGAAAAAGGAGTCAAATCAGTGTGTCAAATATTAAAGGTTGATATTAAAATAATAAAATTTTATTATTATTATTTTTTCTCGCTTTCATCATTACAAAAAAAAAAAATAAATAAATTTTTATTGATTTATCAGCTATCTGGAAGAAAGTTGGAAGAAATCAACGATTCGAAATCACAATTAGATGATTTATTTAAAAAATTACAATCGATTTGTAATTGTTACGTTGACCTCGATCCTAATCTCAGGTTTATCGTAACGAGCGTTATCGATATGAGAGCTTCAGGTTGGGGTGAAAACACGGCACCGACAGTGACAACCGTTGAAATTCGATCAGAACCTGAATATTTTGTTAGTTTTTTTTATGATTTTTTCTTTTCTCTTTCTTTTTTTACTTGTCTCATGGAAGATAATTTTATTTTTTTTTTGTTAATTAAAAAACCAGGATGATCCAGTATTTTTCGGTCCCGATGGAAAAGTTATTTCCGAAGAGGAAACATCATTTCTTCACGAAAGCGTACCCATATCAGAAGACACCGAGGATTACGTTTGGTTTGTACATCTAATATTTACCATTTGTCCCCCTTTCTCCCCTCCCCCTCCTCCTCCCTCTTTTCCGTTTAAATTCGTTTATTAATGAGTAATGAGTATTTACCAGAGATTTTTTAACGTATTTCAGCGATCAAGATTTAATGAATGAAGAAGTTTACGACGACTTTCAAAAGTTTTTGAAATTAAATAATCAAAGTTAAAGGAGTCATCATGTAATGAATAGTGTTATGGTATGTAGTATTATTAATAATACATAACAATAAAAATGATTTTAAACTTTTCTGCCATGTTTTGTAATTTCATAGAGTAGTTAAACACACAAAGATGAATGATGTCAAAGAATGTTGTTAGTTGTTGTTCTTCATAGGTTATCGATTTATTACATTTATTTATTTATTTATTTTGTGTACTTGTTTAAAATATCCCTTTTGTTCGTTAAAATGAATTTTTGTTTTTTGTTTTAATTACAGGAAAACGTAAATCCGTTAATGCATGGTTGTGATTAACAATGTACTGAACTTAAAAAAAAGAAAAAAAAATGTCAAGAATGAGGAATTTATAAAAAAAAAAAAAAAAAAAAAAAGCATAAGTTTTTATTTTTTACATTGTAAATATCGTGCATAAAAGACTTAAAAGATTTTAATTATAGATGATTATAATAAAAATGAAAAAAAAAAAAAAAAACAAAATTTTGCTTTTGGCCATAAGGTAGTGTGATTTTTTTTTTTTTAATTTTAAAATATATATATAAATAAATATATTTATTATAAAAGAAAATTATTTTCTAAATTAATAACAATTTAAAAATTGTCAAATGATTTATAAAACAGAAACGGTGTGAGAGTAATAATAAATAATATTATTATTGTTAAAAATTAAACATTTTTTTTTTTTTTTTTATTTGGTAGTTGAATTGTTTTGCGGTCTTGTTAGCTCTCTTAATTTTTGTTCTCTCATATGTTTAAATTTATTTTTTTTTTGACTGAAATTTAATTTGCAGTTCCTCTCGCATAAAATGTTTAATTTTTTTTTTTTTTTAAATAAATTATAAATAGCTGTTTAGAATATAATGAAAAAAAATATATATGTACTCAGTAATTATAATGCTGTATAATTGTCAGATAGTAAAACAAAATTTGTGTTACTTTTTTTTTTTTAAGCGTACAGAAGGGAATTGTACTTTATATTGGTGATGCAAAACAAAAAAAAACTTAAATTTTTTCTGCTGTTTTATTTAATGTAAAAAAAAAGAAAAAGAAAAATTTTTTTTTGTAATTGACTCATGTTTCTTAAGGGATAAATAAATTTATTTATTTATTTATGATGGTTTTTCATTATTTGTAAATTTTAAATATTCTAACTGATATATTAATGTTGTTAAAAATATAAAATGTTCTCATCTTTATGGATTGGTAAACAACATTATAAGGAACCATAGTTTATGGAAATTTCATAGAGTAAGTATTTAAATTTTTGAATCGCGGAGGCTTTGCTTGTACATATTTTTTTTTGTATTTGAAATAGTTGTTTACTGTTATTTAACGGTCGTATTAATGCTATCCTGAAGTAGGTTTTTGTTAAATAATTTTTTTAATAATGGATTCAAATGAGTCGTCCGAGAGTCAATATACAACAACTCCTTTAAAAAGTGTCGAAGGAAGTTCATTTTTAGTGAGGCATCAGTTATTAAATACAAATAGTAATCCGTATAAAACACCTGTTCAAAACAGATTTAACTCTTCAACTGATTTAAAATTATCGAGCAGAAAACCGTATAAAAGTGTTATTATTGAAAAAATGCCTATTTATTCTCCTCCCTCGAAAAGTATTAGTTTTGTTAAAAATCCATTTGAACACGCCAGATTATTGAAAGATAGATTGAGTCAACCTTTGTGTAGCCCTTCATTATTTAAAGCGGTTTCTACTCCTACCAAGGTATTTATTTAAATGTTTTTTTTTAATACTTTTTTATATCAAAAAGTAAAACTTTTTGATATATATATGTTTAATTGTAGAATGAGGAATTCACATGGAGCATTGAAGACATTTCAATGCTTCATCCAGCAGATATAGATGAAAATCCATCTCAAGATTTTGATTCATGGTTTAGTCCTGTGACTGAAAGCGAAGCACAAGAAGCTATAAATAGGCATGAATTAATTTATTAACTCTTTACATTGTTTTCAGTCACAAAAATTATTATTTATAATTTTTTCCTCAGGTTTTTTTCAAGTCAAATGGTTAATATGGAAAGTCCTTTAAGGGTAGATTTAAGAAATCAAAGAGTCAAACAGACTACAAGAGAAAAATGTACAGTTGTTGATCAGCATACTCAAACAGATTTAACATTTCCTCCAGAACTACCACCAGATCTCAAAGCTATTTTATCTAGATATTGTTTATTCGGAAACACAGATTCAGATTCGACTGATAGCAATGAAAGCGATCTTATCAATTTTTCAGGAAGTAGAAAAAAATTATTCATTCGTAATTTTAATTGTGTTACTCCAAATCAAAAGGTACGAATGGAAAAAATCAATTTAAGTTGTTTTCTAATTTCTTTTTTTTGTCAACAGTTTATATCGATTCTAACTTTTTTTTTGTCTTCATAAATGTTTACAGAAAGACAATGGTGGATGTTTTTCTCCCTTAAGAACTTCAGCTTTATCTTCTCCAGAGCTATCACCTGTAAGTGACTCATCTGCAATGGACATTTCCGTCAGAAGTATTAATACTACTAAATTAGATTTTTCTAATGATGTATCCATGAGCGAAAAAGAAAATTTATTATCTAATGAATGGAATTTTAAAGAAAGTTCTACTCCGAGAGTATTATCAAAACCATCAGACATTGCTTTCTAATCGATATTGAAAGTTAACTTGTTATAAAAAAAAACAATATTCGAAGAATTATAATAAAAAATATGTTTTATTTACACGAATCGATATAAAATTTAACGTTAAAATTATGTTATTTATTTTAATTGTCTAATAAACTTATACAATCATATTTTCTATTAAAATTTAAATAATTTTTATTAATAATAAAAAAAATTTAATAATTGTGTACAATCATTATATTGAAATTTTATTTTGCAAAATTACTAGCCATATTATTCAACTGAAACTTTGTAATTATCGTTATTAACATAAAGTTATTGCCCTCAAATGAATGTAGCCATAAATAAATATTAATTAGACTATTAATTTTTTTTGTTTTGTTTTAAGTAACTTCACTAAAGATTATGTTTACATATAACCTTTAGCTTTCAATTAAATTTACATTGAAAATTTATTCAAAATGAAATTAAAAACAGACGAATTTAAATATTCTCACGAATTCAATACATTTTTTTTTTTAATGATTACTACAATTATCTTTAAATAATTAACTTAAATCTATAAAGGCTATTTAATAAGATACCGTGAAATACATTCAATCAAGTTTTTCTAAAAAAGGATTCTATTATTTTTAACGTTGAAATATGAAAAAAAAATTTCCATAGAGAAAATAAACAATTTAACGGTTACATTTTTTTTTCAGTTTCGAATCGCGGAGGTATTGAATTAAAAATGTCTAGTATTGAATTTAATCAACCGAATTTTTCATTTTTAACAGAGTTAATAATTTTTATGTTTAAGTTTATTAATTTATCATTTATTTCTGCATGATATAAGTGCCTAAAATTATATGAAAAATAGTTTCATTATTTATGTTATGCAATGAAAATGTATTTAAATGATGATTTAAAAGAATATAAGGTATGTATTTTTTGTCTTTTTTCTTTTTTTTTTTTTTTTTGTATGTTGTATCCTCTCTTTTTTTTTTGTTAAGATAAAAGGTGTGGCATGTTAATTTTGCCGGTATTCATTTATAATTAATTTTAAATATTAATTACGCGATAAACGAATTTGAATATTGTTTATTTATTACATAAACGATTTATACGGCAAATATCTAAATATTACATTTGTTATTGAAATGTGGTTTATTAACGTTTGTTGAAAATCATGTGCCTTTACGTTTGTCTTACACTTTATTTATATGTTTAACATAAGCGTAACAGATGGTTTCCTTTTTTTTTTTTTTTCGCGGCATTGGGCGCGTCATTATTTTCACATCACGGGGTGACCAGTTTTCATTACCGTTACGTCACCATACAAAATACAAAAATGGGTCAATATTGCCATTTTCATATAATATCCATATTAAAGTAAAACAAAAAAATTTGTCTGGATTGTATGAGGTTGACGACCTGTTTTTCTTTTTTAACGGTTGATAATTTACTGGATTTTTGGTTAAAAATTTACTTTTGTTTTTGACATTTATGAAAACCACCCCCCCATGATTATCATAAACATATTTGAAAAAATTCTTTTTTTTTTGATTTGAGCAAAATGATGAATGATTTGAGAGTAATTTATTTGTTAAGTTTCCCCCACCCTCACCTCTTCAAGTGATAAATACACTATTATTTTCTTTTATATCATAATAAATATTATAATGAACAAAATATTTTCGAAATGTGTTATGACCCCACATCGAACTGAAACAAATTTATTTATTAAGCGAAAAAGATTCACTTTATTCGATTCTTTTTTTTTGAACAATTTATGAAATGTATGAATGAATTGGGAAAATTTTATGGCAAAATCAAAATGATACAATGTCAATAAGTAAAATTTTTAAACGAACTTACCTGTTTCCCTGATAAATTTATTCGATAATGGCTACAAATTAATATTTAATCGATTCATGCATTTAACAGTTGTTCAAACAATCGAAGACCATAATAATAATTTATTAATGATAACCTTATAACCTTTGACTCGATTAACACACTATTAATTTTATTACATATTTTAAATTTTATAATTGATTGATTAAAAACTAAAAACTAAACAATTTTACTCGAATTCAATCAATAGTCAGGTAAAAATATTTTTTTTAATTAAAAGAATTTTTTTTAATTATTTATATCGAATCTTTTTTCTCTTTTTTATCTAAATGACCTTGTGATAATAATAATTTATTTATTTTTATCATTTAAATCTTATTTAGCCATTATTATTTACTTTTTTTTTATTGGAATGAGAGAGAAAATGAATCTTTTTAATTTATGTTGTAAAGAAGCAGTTGAGTGTGGTCATGGATGTGAATAATGCATTTAAAAAACTAAATTGTTTTCTCTTTTTTCTCATGAAAGAATTAGTGAAAGCTGTTTTTTTTTCTTTTCTTTTTCCTTTTTTTTTTTTTTTTTGATGTAATGTTATGTGATAATTTGATTCTTATGACATAATCAAACGATTCCGCATCCGAACCAACCAAACCACCGAATAACCTCAAATTCTTTTTTTTTTCATACCGGATAACCGCCTTTGATCTCTCTCTTTCTCTCTCTCTCTCTTTCTCTTTCTCTCTCTCTCTTTCTCTCTCTCTCTCTCTCTCTTTCTCTCTCTCTCTTTCTATTAAATCATTTACATTGTCTTGGACATTGTGTTGAAAAGAAAATAAAAGAGAAAAATTGCAATTTTTTTTTTTTTTTTTTTTTTTTACTTAACATTACGTTTAAAAATCTCATTATGAATTTGTACGATTTGAATCCTCTTTTGTTGTTGTTTTTGTCGTTTGTTTGTTTGTTTGTTCACTATTATTATTATTATTATTATTGTAATTATTAATATTTGTTTCGTTCTCGTAATGATTTTAACACACTTATATTATTTGCGTTTTTACTTTCACCCTACTTTTTTTTAAAGGAAATTTTGTCTTTTAGAAAATAATCGATCGGTTTGTTTTTGTTTTTTTTTTAATAAATTTTTTTGGTAATTTTCCTCAGCATCTCTCTCTCTCTCTCTCTCTCTCTCTCTCTCTCGTTGTTTTTTCCCTTTCAATACTTTTCAATACTTAAAACTATTCTCTCACGTGTTCTTGAATTAAAATTTTTTTTTTTTTTCATATATATACTTATTATCATCGTGTTTCGATTAATGCGTTTGATTACTTAACTGTTATCATTATTATTATTGTTATTATTAGTCGAAAAAAAAATTACTTATTATTATTATTATATATATATGTATTTGTTTGGTTGTCTCGTAGAACATTAATAACTTTTCCTTTTTGTTCTCATCTCTTTTCTTCATTCGTATAGGGAATCATTTTAATTTTTTTTTTTTTTATGAATGTAACGACGTTGATTAAATCGTAAGAAATTTGAAATTTAACGAAACGATTTAAACAATTCACTTATCAAATTTAAAATTAAAAAAAAAAAATAATAATAATAATAATAAAAAGACTAATAAAATTCTTATTATTACACGACTACAGGCTTTTTTTTGTTGCGTTGTAAAATTAAATATTTCGATTATTTTTTTTCATTACTATTTTCTCTCTCTCTCTCTGTCTCTCTCTCTCTGTCTGTCTCTTTCTCTCTCTCTCTCTCTCACTAATCAATCAATCAATCGGATGTTCAACGATCTGAAACCTTGTTGTGTGCATGTATGAGTATTTTTAATTGAAAAATATTTTTTGCAATTTTTTTTTCCCCTGCGAGTTGCATAATAACAATAATAATAATAATAATAATTATAAAATGAAAATAATATCTGGTGCATGAGATTATTATTATATATTATTAATATTATTATTATTATTAATATTATTATTACTTTGAATTTCCTTGTATTTTATTTATTTATTTTAATTTGTTGAGTAATTAACGTAAAACGTAGATAGCGAATCTTTATAAATAATTAATTATTTTGTTACTTTTATTGACGTATTTCCTTTGATTTTGCCGTCGTTTGTCGTTTGTCGTCTGCGGTCAATCGTAATGATAAATTATCATCAATGTCAAAGGTTAAATGAATTGAATAGTGTAGTCATAAATAATAGAGAAATTGATAGAGTAACTAACGAAAAGGTGAAAATTAAAAACGAAGAAAACAATTTGTGAGATAAAATGGATGATGGGCCCTTTCGTTTGTTTGTTCGTTTGTTTGTTTTTCGATTGTTGTATTATCGTCGGATAGGAATTTCCACGACGGTAAAAGTTGAACAAACAACATTACATCATTATCGTTAATGTCGATTTTTTGTGCGTTGCAAAAAAAAAAAAAAAAAAAAAGAAAAAAATGGCAAATGTTATTTGCAAACTAGAAAGCGTTTCCTATACCGGATAATAATGTGTAATAATAATAATAATAATAATAATAATAATAATAATAATAATGATAATAATGATACTAATGGGGAAAATATTCGCAGATTCATAAAAAAATAATTTTATTATTTTTTTTTTTTTTGCAAGTATCAAATCTCTTTCTTTACTTCCTTCTCTTTTACAAATCGAATTATGTAATTTTAATTTAACGCTTTTTTTCCTCCTCTCTCTCCCCTCCGCCTCCGCCTCCCTACTTCTCCCTCCCATGTTTATTTTGTGGAAATGAAAAAAAATTGGTTTTTTTATTATTATTATTATTTTTTTTATCGCATTAACTGCCTAAATTGTTCCGAATCATTTACCGGCATTATTAATTAATAAAACACCTAAAAAAAAAAAAAAAAGAGAGAGAGAGAGAGAGAGAGAGAACGTTTTAATTGGTTTACGAATGACGTCGATGATAATAATAATAATAATAATAATAATAATAATAATAATAATGATAATGATAATGATAAAAGCCTCCCGGTAAAATAGTTCTAACGCACTATACCCAACTCGTTGACGTAGGTTCAAAATCAAATATTTAATTTTTAAAAGGGCCGAACGCGAACGAAGTTTTTACGCTTACGTCCAATCTTCTTAAAATAAAAGAAATAGGGAAAATAATAATAATAATAATAATGATAATAA